CTAATGCTAATGCTAATGCTCGTGTGGGATCAGACTTAAAAATAAAAACTGGATCTGGGGTCTCAACCAGCACTGTGTTTTGTTTTGATGCCCAGGTCCAGAACTGTGTTTATTAAAGCTGGAACTGGTCTGATTTAGAGGCCAGCAAAGGCCCGGTGAGATGCTCAAAAAGGGCTAAACGCGATGCTAACCGTCCTGGGTGCTCACACAGAGCAGGTTTAGGCAGAAAAAAGCCAAAAACTGGAGTAAATCTGACTAAATGTCACATGACTGAGTGAACCAAACGGAGCAGAGCGGCTCATCTCTCCAACTCACATCATTTCTCTCTAATTTTCAGGTGGTTTTTGCGTTTCTTTTTAACAGACTCACAGTTTTTTGATGGTTCTGGCTTCTCTCTAATGACGAATGAGTTCCCTTCCTCGGGAACAAATATGTGACGACCATATCTGTCAAATCTCTCCGTCCAGCAGAAACTCTTCGCTCTACTCTGGACTATTGTCTGCACTCTTTAGGGTCAAAGGTCGCCACGTCACAGACGGTCCCAGATAAGTTCAGAGGTGGAAACCTTCAAGAGTCAGTCAGTATGGAAATGTGTATTCTAAAACTTTCATCTTAAACTCCAGCAGCCAACAATCACAACATTTATACTCAATCAAATATACAGTGGGGGAAATAAGTATTTGACCCCTTGCTGATTTTCAGGTTTGCCCACTTACAAAGAATGCAACGATCTATAACTTTAATCATATGTACATTCTAACAGTGAAAGACAGAATCCCAGAGAAAATTCCAGAAAATCACCTCACATGAATTTATAAAAATTGATAACCATCTGATGAGGAAAAATAAGCATTCTTTGTAAGTGGGCAAACCTGCAAAATCAGCAAGGGGTCAAATACTTATTTCCCCCACTGTATATTAATGAAGGTAAAGGAGTCTGGAAAAAGCATATAAAGGACCAAAAGTGGTCTCAAAAGAAGCTTTCAAAAGCTCCTCTTTTTCTAAATTTACAGACCAAACGTTAAAAACTAGAGCCACTTGTATTTATTCTCTGAATACAACAGGGAACTCGGTGTGAATGCTTCTTCTAATCTCACAAAAAGCCGAGAATAAACATTTAAAACCGCCATTCACTGCCTCCTCTCAGCTCATTCACAGCTCATTTGGAGGAACTCACCTGCGTAATCTCCTGCCTGTTTGACGCCCGGATCGTGACCAGAAGCAACCACGCGCGTGGCTTGCTGCCTAATAAGCAGTGAGGTGGGAATATTTGGCCCAAAAAAACGCTTCTCTCTCTCACGTCACCGCACGAGGGCGTAACGCTGTCTGATAACTATCTGGAGCATCTGAGTGTCAAGACCCTGCAAAACACCAAATATAACACACACATTCAGCCTTTTGTTGGCTTCATTGTCATTAGTTATATTAACTGAGTCACCTTTTATAATAAGCC